GCAATCACTGAGTGAAGTTACTTTTCATACCTAGTAGACATTAACTAAAAAAACCATTAATAACCAAGAAATTGTTTAGATAATTATTTCATCCAACACACACCTGTAACCGTACACTTGATCAAACTCAAACCTTGCATATCTTTTGGGTGAATATGTTGCCCATAGATCATTGATCGAGTCAAGAGTAGTCTGTTCATGCTAAAATCCATTTTTGTTCGCAAATAACTATTTCAACGATAAATTATAATCACCACCTAACTGATCATAATGACATTATAGTTTTTCATTTCAAAGAATGTGCAAAATACAAAGTACAATCATTATTCAATCTTAAAATAAAACAATAATGCTTTATAGATTGTATAGTTATTATTGTAAATAACACTACAAAGTTTAAATCTGTGGTTGGATTGAAAACATTTAAATATGTACGTATACAAATACATGTGATGACACTGGGAAATAACACTTTTTGTGCTTAGATTCCACTGTGAGCCTTTAGTGGATAGATGACAAAGTTGTTCCTACGTTATACCCATAGTGGTTTAGTCGTTTACCGGTTCTAGTCGATTTTTATTGGCTAAGAAATGCATATTTATCTAATAAAAAGTAATTTTTAACTACGTGACTTTCGTATAATGACAGTTTTCATATTTTATTTCTGTATACTGTAGATCATTAATTTGTTGGATATGATATTTGGTTTTCAACCACTAGGTTGTGTTTGCGAATTCCGTTCTGTCTGTTTTGGTTTGAGTAGCCAGGTAGTATCATTAACTTTCATAAAAATAGTTAATTCATTAACTAGTTAGTTAGTGAGTTAGTTAAAGCTCACTGTTCATTTCAATTTATGTTTCAGTACGATGGTACATAATTCGGTTGATAATTGAGATAATGATTGTGGATAATTTCAGGATAAAATAAACTGAACATTCTAATTGTTGTCTTTTTTCGACCTACATTTACTGCCTATGTTCACTATTATTTTAAGTAATTTGATTTAATTATTTTCATATATTACAATAGTTTATGGAGATAGGTTTCTGTACATTTATCTAAAGTTTAATGACTAAGCCATTAAAATCAATATTCAGAAGAAAAATAGTATTTTTCGTTGAAGGATATAGAAGTTACCATTCATGCTAATGATTTATGCTTTCTCTAGATCACTTGTTGGATCATAACAGAAGATAAATAAACAGATGAGTACATCCAAGATGGAAGAAGATTGTACTTTTCTATAAATTGACTATTTAGTTCCTTTTTAAGTTTGCTTTTGTCAGTGAAGAAAGAAATACTGTAATATGGTAGAATTTTAAGAGATTAAAGTAGAGCTGCAGTTCAAGAGATCTATTTTTCCAGTGTTTTTATGTTGTCCAACACAAATTTAATCATGTTAGTGATCAAATCGAAAGCATTGGAAGTTCCTGTCATCACTCCGTAATTGTTGTCATTCTATTTGTAGGTTGAAATTCAGTTGATTTTCATCTTTTTGAACAGCCAATAATTTTATTTCTTGACATCAACTAACTAATAACCAATCTACACGTTAATTCGTTTAACATAATATTTAGAAATTGTTGTCTTTAGAAATAATCCTTCTTTTCCAATGGAAAAACGACTATCCATTCACATTTTTTCTCATTTGATTGATCCTACTCTACATATTGTATTGTATATTTGAATCTTCCCATTGATGTTTAGGACTGCAATTGATCAGTCTCTTATTGGCATATGTGCATTCTGTGCGGATTGCTTCTCTACATAGGTTAATATATTTTCTGTGATAATGTTTCTCATAAAAAATTGTATTATTCCTCTTCTTCCTTTTTCTATCGCAGTAAAATTTCATTCCACACATTACTTTCTCTGTTCTGTTTATGACTACTTCTAAGTATATTTTAATTTCGTTCTGTTTGTAGTTTTTGCCTTAAAAGTTATTCTCGTATGGATAGATTAAAGTTGCTATAGTTGTCTTCTGCCTTCATGTTTTCTTTTTTTCTCAGCTCAGATATGTGACTCATTATTGCGTGATAAAATAGAATTCAAAATTCTAGATAGATTGAGAGAGAGGAAAAGAGGGATGAAACCTAATTGAATCAGTGTTTGTGATGACTAAATGAACAACCTAAAACACACTGGTATAACAGCAGTATTGTACTAAACGAGAACACACAAGTGGGGACAACTGAATGCATTTGAATGCAAAATTACAGGTCTTAGTGAAATCTGTGAACCATATAGCAAATACTTCATCTGCAAAGTCTCAATCAATTGTCTCGAACTTGATTGTTTCATCGTTCCCACACCAATCATTCTCTGTTCTCGTTCTCTTCTCTTCGATCATCTTAATCTTCTGCTGCCAGGTGTTTCACTTCCAATCAGTGATACCTACTACTTATATCTGTCGACATCAGTAGCACACACCACAGTATCATTATTTTGTACAAGGCAGTAATCATTTCTTTCCACAATGTTTACCTGTTTATCACTCTAAATTTTATTAGTGACATCTGTGTTTAGGTGTACTCTTTTTAAAAATAAAATGTGAGAAATTGAATTTAACTGTTGGAATTGAAAATGTGCATTGAATTTTGATTGTATTTATAGTACACTGCATTTTTTGTAAGAATTAAACCAGTACGTAAAGTTGTTTGAAATTTTCACTTATAAATCATACAGATAAATGATCATACTGGTATTGCTCACTGATTTAAACTGGAACCTCTGATAACTAATGGTTATATATATATATATATATCGTCAGTCTCTAATAACCCAGAGAACTCCTAGGAGCGTTTCATTCAATCAATTTGTCAGTGAGGCATCTAAAGAAATGAAAGATTGCGTGCACATTTTGGTTAGATAATTACCTATATCGTTACTATGTTTCATATGTTTCCAGAAGTTACCATAAGAGCAAAACCATTTTAAACTCTAGATGCACTCGATTTTCCTCATACAATTAACTTCACATTTCCTGTCTTTTCTCTGTAGTTTTATCGGGAGTTTAGATGTAACCTGTGGTTATAAGTAGTGGCTAGGAGGCCACCAATAATCGTTTCAGTAACAGACGTATCATTTTTTTAATATGACTTTTATAGATTGTCACGTCCATCATTTAATTCATCCTCTGCACACTCCTGTTGTATAATTATTTCAACTTGTTAATCCAAAAAACAAACAAAGCTAGCTGTACATAGCATTATTGACAGCACACTAAAGTTACTTACCTTCTTTTAAAAAAAAATCGACTGTACTTTTTTTAAATTTCAATCGAAGTTCACTTGTATGGGTGGTCCGTTAATGTCGTTGTTTTCTTTAAAGCTTTATTTGGGTGGCATTTTAGCCAGTGAACTATTTTTTGTTTGAAGACAGAGTGTCCGTGTGTGATGGTGAAAGTGAGTAGAAGACATAGTATATAGTTGTTTATTGTTTAGTCTGATTATTATTATCTAAGCTATGTTTGTACGGATATATGATTATTATATCGTGATCACTTGTCGCCGTTCTTATTTCTATCAATAATAACCTGGTTTTGTGCTTAAAGAAATATGTTAGTATTTTAAATTAGGCAAATCTAACTAATCACTACATCTGCTCTGTCTTAATCATTCATAAAGTATCTCTAACCTATACGCAATAAGGTGTATCTCAACGACAACCATTCAGTCATAAATTCAGATTACCTATGTACTTCAGTTTATTTTTTCTCACTATTGTCTATAAATGATGATACAGTTATTCATTGACCTTTTATTTTCATTGGTCACCACCTCCAGTTGATAACAATCTGTGTTGAAAATCAACTGGAACTTAAAGTTATCACTACAAACTTTACATCTAATTTTTTCTTTTGAAATGAAGTTCTTTGGTCACTGTTAAGCACTACACTAATCAATGATTGATTGGTATAAATATGTCGGTTCAACAACAGGATATTTGTTGTAGCCTTAATAACTTAGTAACCATAGTGCTGACTGTAGCACACTGATAAAAGTTAGAATCGTTAGTAAACGAAACTAATTCTTGACCCCCATAAGATGGAAAATACACGTTTTTGTTAATCGCCACTTACATAAGACCCTGGCGCATAATAAATAGTCTCTAATAATCTCATATTAAACGCATTACTTTCAAGCATAATCATAGGATTAAACTAATTACGTGAATTTGATGTGGAATCTTCTCATAGAGTGACTTTTTTCAAAATTATAAATAAATATTAAGATAGTTATTTGAGATAACTGAATCCGTTTTTTGACCTTTACAACTTGCTTGTTTGCCTTGTCTACTTCAAAATTTGAAAATTATAGTTCCATTGGTAATTGATGCATCAGTTTGAAAAATATTCCATCATTTTGACTACTATTTATTTTTTATTTCTATTTAGAAATAATCTTCTAAGTGAATTTTATAAAGAAAATATTCCTGACCTTCATGAAAAATTTAATTTTACTTTAAAAAAGAACACTTCAATTATCTCATAGTTAATACTCTAGGCTGAATTTTGATCAGTCTCTTTTTGGCATGTATTCATCCTGTGCGAATTGCCTCTATTTGGCCATTATAACACAAGTTTTTATGGAAGATGTGGATAGTCGCTGGTAGTGGGATCCATAATGTACGTTTCGTTCTACTTGGGAGTCATAAGTTAGATATACCTGCATCGCAGAACTGATGCTCACAACCGGACTCGAACTCACTGACCCTTATTTCGAACTTTCAACAGGTTATTCACTAAGCTACCGAATCCAAATAGCCACTCAGTTGTCCAGTGGATATGATATCTCTGGTACTGGGTGAACGTTGACACTGGGATACACATACATCCAGCTCATGAGCCCCAAACAAGATGAAGTATGCCTCTTGGATTCCATTTCTAGCTCCAATCTATTGAATGAGAGTATTCTTGTTATGTTTTTAAAGTTTACTCTGCTCTTCAGTGACATATTTTAATGCTATAATAAACTATTTATTTATCTGTGTTTTGATAGATACCGTATGTCCTTCATCGGTCAATCAAGGTCATTATAAACGACCTCGAATGCTATGGGCTGGTTATTTTTGTGTACCAGACTTATCATCTATTCCAAATAATTTCTCTACACTTGGTAAATCTGAAACAATAATGACCTCGAATATTTTTATCACCGCTGGACCAGATGCTACTCCAGACTTGGATTCAATTATACCTAATGTAAATTATTTTTATTATTGTTTATTATTAATAATTTTATCCCTCTACTCACTTTTTTGTGTATCATTAAGCTCGCATAGCCAGTTCTTAAAAATTCAAACAGGATAGATTTCAATCGATTAATCAACTGACTAACTGAATTAGATTATATAATTAAGAAATTCATGATATTTTTTGAACTATATATAACTTTTCAGACTAATCAGTGATGAAAATCCTAGTTACACAATAAGTAATTACTTTGCATTGTTGTTTTTTCTACCACTGATGTACCATCATACTCGTTAAATACTGACTACCACTGAGAACCAGAGGTTATTCGATCATTGAATTTCGAATCAGTCATCTAGGGGTGATACATTTATCACAAGACTTAAAGGTTGTGGATGAAGTATTTCAAGATGACTTAAATTAAAATGAAACGGTTATTCAATGATCCCTGATTTCCAACAGTTCTCCAGTTGAAGTCAATTCGCTTGTTAAATCATGGAGATATTATTAGCCTATAAACTTTGGAAAAATATCATGTTGCTACAACTTTCTGACACAGTCAGCTGTTTTGTTATCATTCTTATTGTAATGTCGTTACAATCGGTCTATGTTTTAAAGTATATTATGTCAATCAACCAGTATGTTCGTCTATCTAATTTTGGATGGTCAATATGGTATTGTTCTCATACCAAACTTTTTAAATTTACTTTCAAAAGATATATATAATTGTTAAAATTGATAAGGGGTTTTAATGTTGGAGAAATATGGAAATCTAGTGAACACTGAATAGTTGTTTTCTTTTAAGCCATATTCTGTAATTCCCCACCAGTGAACACCTATACTAACACCAGGAATTGAAATTAAATCCTTAATTTCTCTTGGTGAGTGTATTACATTTCAACAACTGACTTGAAATCCAATAAACCACACTTCGAACTTCAATTAATTCATGATATATATTATTGTCCATCGTTTTCCGTTATAATGGTCATCCTAGAAAAAAAAGCACTCTACTCATCATAGCTTGCTCTACAATTATACATAGTTTACTTAGTTATTCTCTGTGATAGTATTTTTTTCCTCTGGACAATTTGATTTGATTTCAGTGGCTGAGATCATGAGTCAGTTGAAAACCTGGAAGCACTGGACTACCATTTCGTCTTATTGTAGGCTTTCCATTGTGGTCTAGCTTCAACTAACTGATGATCTCAACCATTGAAATTACTATAATATCCACAAAAACCCCTTCTGATATTAATTTTATTTAACTCAACATCATTTCATATTACTCATTATTTATTCAGATTATCATTTCTTTTCCTAGAATCATATTTGAATAGATTACAGTAGTATGGTTTTCAATGTATGTACCATTCATGGTTCGTTTTTATTTCAGTGTTGATTTTTATGTATTTGGCAAATCAGTCTGGAATGTTGCGTAATAACTATTCTGTGTTAAGATTTATTTAAGCTGGCGTGTAATAATATTGTTTCTTAGTCAGCTAGAATAAATATATCTCAATTGTAAATTATCAATATGAACTACTTACTTATTAGTGAAACAAGTTATGTTTTTTTCTTCTTTTATTCCACATGCTTGTTTTTTTGTTACTTCTACATCGGCTTTTTGTTCAGAAAAATAAAGGAAAGGAAATATACCTGCTTATTCTTTTCTCCTTTTTTCTCACAAAGTAATAAAATGTAGAAACCTAATTTTAAGGGGGAAATAATTATGTTTGGGTAAATTTCATTTTAAAAATTGAATATTACCCGGGGTAGAAGATTAATATTTAATTAAATCAGTAATTCTATGTAGATTTTGTGAATACTTTTTATATGAGGTATTTTTCAGTCTACTTACATCATAAACTAACATTAACTGGTAGGTAAAGCAAACGAGAAAGAGAGGAAAATAGTCAAAAGAATACAATTGTTTTGTCGTAATTACAAATCACCTGTTAGCAATCTTTACATTCATAAAATTAAACTTCGCTTTTCAATAATTTTATGCTAAATTGACTTCTAGCTTATCGAGATAAGTACTTCTAAAATGGTAAAATTGTTTTTAGAAATTTACTTTTAGTGACATTAAGTAGTTTAAGTGAATTTACTCACTACCTTCTCGTGGCACTACTGTTGTTTACGAAAATGAGAGAACGAAAAGCGAATGTCCGGCGCTTTAACCGGATACCAAACCAATGGTGCACATGGGCTCCAGTATCCTGCGAAAACAAATGGCGTACAAACCAATCGTTGGTCACCGGCTACCATGGGACTGCATCTCCTCACGATGCTCCACTGCCTTGTGGATCAGATCTTCAGGTCGAAGGCTCGGAGTGTGGCCCCCTATGAAAACCAGCTGCTTCGGTCTGGGCACTCGGGCAGTATCACAGCCCTCACACATATCAAATGAGACCTGTGTGGCGCATATGTATTTGGTGCCTCCTTGTACCAATATCTATGTGTTAAAATAAATAAATAAATTTAACATCATGGCTTAGTGAATAGAATAGATTGCTTACAACAAGTTTGAATCCTGTTTCAATTATTTGGATTTGATCAACCAATTAGTTATTATTAGGTTACATTCAAACGGTTTTACTCAGAGCTAAGTACATAAATCCACACAGTACATATTCTAACATAACAAAAATAGTATTTACCTCGAATTGTTTAGATTTTTATGATAGCATAGATTTGTCTTGGTGCCGCTGTCACCCCGCCCCCGCCTTCTCGCATTCGACCATACCATAAATAGACGCAACTGTACCTAGTTTGGTTGGAATGAAAAATTGTCCTACTTCCCTGAATAATAATGACAATAGGAAATCATTAAACGACAGATGTATGTGACCTTGACAGATGTGTCTGTATTCGATGACTTTCTATTCTATGAATAAAAAAAATCAATGAATCATTTATGCGTCATTGAAGAATGTTAATCTGCTTTCCTTTTACACCTACTAAGTTTCTTTTTCCAATATTTTGTATAGCCTCCTCTTGATTGTATTTGTTGGTCCAATAGTTGTCACTATTATTACTATTATAGTATTATTATTATTGTTATTACCAGTAGTAGCATTGTTACTTTTGTCAAAATCCTACTGAATCAGTTTGACATTCTGACAATAATCAAGCAGATTGTTATTGTTTTATTTTAAGTAGATAAGCAGGTAAGTATAAACGACAGAAATATACATAAAACACGATATCCTGACACAATTCTTACTTGGAAATTCTCAATTAATTTCATTCGTTTAAATTAACGGATAGTGAAATTTTATTTCAATAAAGTTATGATTGTATTAGAATTACAACATTCAAATAATAAAAAATTGTATTTTGTGAATAAAAAACGCTTATGCTCATTCTACTACTGTCGAGTGAACTCTAATAAAAGAAACTGGATTGTAGAACATTATTGTAAACACTTTCGGTTTCCAGACAACAGTGGGTCGCATATTCAATTTATGTTAAGAATTTGATAGTTCTTTGTCACGATTCAGTGGTCCTAGTGCATATGCTTAGGTTCAAGCCATGATTTTCTTTATTAAATTATCTATGGACAAATCTCATGTACAAAGTTTCATCCTGATAAAGTATTTCCACGTGATAACCGAAATCAACAGCTCCTAAAACAATCGCTGCACTTTAAGTTTAAAACTCACCACTTCTCCTACCATCGAATTAGTAAGCTAAAAGTCTTAACATCCAATTTTTTCGAAGGATAATTAAGGAGGCAATATGTATCTTTTTATCTGTGAATTTGTATTCATGGGGGATTGAAAAAATTTTCCCTGAAAGGGAACTATAAAGTCAACCGATTCTAGAGTTAAATTCTCAGTCTTCAACAGTATTGAATAAAAATGTGCTATATAAGCCATTGAATTAAAGGCATAATACCTATCATCAAGACTGAGGGTTTTCGGTCTCTATACCGTATACGTATCTCGCGGACATACATTCTGGTGTAAAGTGAAACAGTTTTCGATCTTCGATGATTTCCTATGGTTGTTTAGATGATGACATCAGTATGTGATAGTAAGTACATTCAAACTGTATGAAGTTTTTTATATAACTGTCTCATTACAAAACATACACATCATTTCATAAGGTAAATATATGTTTTTGGTAATATTGAGCGATAAATTTTTGTACATATTTCTATTAACAATTTTTTTGCATTTCACATACTTAAGCAGTCTTTGCATTCTGCTTTTGTATAGAAGTTGAATTAATAGTTTATTTATTACTCTATACAAATAAGACAAGTGTTTTCAGTATTTTACAGACTGTCTAGCCTTTACATTAAACACTAAAAGCAATTACATAATGGTAATGATGAATAACCTTGAACTATTTATACTTTTTCATGTAGATTACGATAGAAATTTTTCTTGTTACTGAGTCGTCTGATTTAGTTTGGTATGTTTATCATGTTATTAGGTTAAGAAATAAATAAATAAATAAATCAATATCTGATAATTAGTGAAATATTTTATTTATATACTTCAACACAATTAGTATTAGTATATGTATGTATCATGCATAAATTAAGGTATATGCATCGTCATATGAAATAATATAAATTTGATAGTGGTTATTGATGTATGCGCTTGAACTCAATCTAACAACTCTGTATTTGTATGTTAAAGTGTAGATAACATAACATGTTTAAACTTCGACTCCTTCATGCCACTGTATTATGAGTCGGTTTTTGTTCTCAGTGTTTTAGAACTGAAATTCGCTTCTGTTGTAAAATGCAAGAACAAGCAGGAGGGAAGTATATTTATTGAGAAAAGTTACAAAATATTTACATAATATATATACATATCCTTTAATCGTCTATTTGCATCTTTCTGTGTTCTACCAACTGAACTATCTTCTCGTTTAGTTTATAAGTGTTCTGCCGATTCCGTGCTTTCGATGCACTGAGATTCGGTCTGATATTTGTTGCAACTTCGATTCTACTTTCCGCTACGTACTACTCACAAGCGTCTACTACACTA